GTACTCTCTCTCTCTCTCTCTCTCTCTCTCGCTCTTGCTTCGTATATTTTCCCCAACCTGGATCAATATTTCCTTCTCTTAAAAGAAATAGTTTTGAGAATATGGGGTTGGAGAAAGAGGTGTGCTCTCGAGGGTGTCGGTCATGGTCATTAGCAACAGGGAGTAGTGCCTCAATTTGCTGTTTTCGAGGTTCTTTGGGTTTGCCATCAAGATGAGTTTGGGTACTTCCATCAATTGGTGTTATCTTGAGGATAATGTTCAAGTAGTGTGCATAAAATTCTGGGAGTGAGATTTTTATGGTATACTGTAGGGGATAGCTGTGTCTGTTCTTGGATACAGTGATACAGTGAAAGGTTGATGGAGGGGATGAGAGGAGCTTATATGGTTTGCTGGGTAGAGGGAAGTATGAGAGAGGTGAGAGGGTAGAGGCCTGACAGATCTGGTCGACCTGGTGCAGTTTGATGGGATGGGGGGATGGGGAGAGACAGATGTGGGGGATCTTTGAGAACAGGTTACGGAAGGTGATGATGGGAGGTGATGGGCTGCTGCTGGTGAGACTATAGGTTTCTGGATGGGGCTTTGTGATGGAATGCAATGGTGGGCAGGTAGCGGGTGGGGTTGATGGGTGGGCTACGGATGGCTTAGAGAGATGATTGACTCTTGTTCTCTCATCTCCAAAGCATAAATATATCGTCATAAGCTCTTTTCCATGTTAATGAAAGAAAAATATAAGAGGCTATTTAGTGATTGTGAAGAATCCTCCTTGAGCCCATTAACAGGAGAGAGCAACTACTTGGAACATTGTAAGGTTCCTCAATGCAAGTTGCTTTCTAGTGGCTCTTTTGAGGTATACTCGTAGGGGTGGTTGGGTGGGTCTTTTTTGCAACTTTCTTTCAGTTGGTGGTTCCATCCTAACATCACCATAGGACTGTTTATCAGCATCCAACTCCTGCAGTCTGTCTTGCTATCATTATATGTGGATACTGTAAATTATATGTGGATACTGTAAAATTTTTAATGAATGAACAATTTTTTCTATGCATTATAATAGAATAATGTATTTGTTGGTACGTGCATGTGATTGCTCTCGACTTCAGGCTCTCCTATAGTTGAATAATTTTACTTTACTCGACAGTTCAGGACCTTCATGATTCTAGACAGTAGATCCAGAAATAATTGATCAGATTATGTAAGCTTCATTCTTAGCAATTCATCTATCTTTACCCCTCGTGGAATCTTTTTGTAAGGGTGAGAGGGAAGCTGATTCTGGTGGACTTGGCTGGTAATGAGAAGGTTGAGAAAACAGGTGCTGAAGGACGAGTACTCGAAGAAGCAAAGAACATCAACAAGTCCCTCTCAGCTCTTGGAAATGTTATTAAAGCTCTAACAAGTGGTACATGTACCTCACTTCATTGTTAGAATGAACATTGATTCTTTCTTCAACATGTTACTTTGGTTGGTACTTCCTAGCTAGAACTTGGCAATAAAGTCACTACTTGTACGTTTTTCTATGCACTTTCTCCATTGTTATGTTGCAGACAAGACAAACCATGTTCCATTTCGTGACTCAAAGCTTACTCGTATCCTACAAGACTCTTTGGTATTATTTCACATCATTGACTAAGATTTTGATGGAAATTTTTATTTTTTTATTTTTAACTAAGCTAAGGCATAAACTGAGTGCCCTCCGTATGGTGGTTATTATGGGATGAATTTCAGTTGGGTTCTGACCTAAGTAGATTGAAAGCTATTGATTTAATTTTAAATTTAGTGTCGATTTCTCCTGTTTGTAATTAGAATAAAACTCAGCACAAACTACAAATACTACACTTTGTTTTTTAAGTCAAATGCTTATGTCTGAGTGTTTGCATGTGTGTAATACATATCTGCATATACACACATATCACTGAATCACTGTTAGAAAAAATGTGGTCTTCTAAATTAACTCCAATGCATATGGGAATCATAATTTTATTTTTTAACATTTTTTTCACAATGGTAGGTTCTACAGTTCAATAAATCTCAGTCAAATTCCATATTCGGCTTTTTTCAATTTTGAATAAAAAATAACATCTCTTCCGTATTGCTTCACAAATGTGAACTAAAATTTGAAAATTTGATTCTGAAGAGGCCGAGACCTTAATCCTTTAAGTTCTAATTGGCTACATTGCCATCATTCATGAGAACAGGGTGGTAACTCTCGAACGGCTCTTCTATGTTGCTGCTCACCAAGCTTCTTAAATGCATCAGAAAGCTTGTCTACTCTTCGTTTTGGGGCAAGGCAAGTCTAGATCGAGGAAATTAAAATTCACTAGCATTATGATCAATTTTTAAAATTAATTGCTTCTATTGATTGTTTTGTAGGACAAAGCAGGTGCGGATCTCTCCACGATTTAACTGTAATGAAGACAAAGTTAAAGTCAAACAAGAAATTCTCAAGTATGAGACCAATTGTCATAGCAGCTCTGAGTTGTCGAACATAATTCTGCATAAGGTTGTGATAACTATTATAAACAAGTTTATTGTCCTAATTTGTTATGCTTTATCTTTTTATGCACCCAGTTGCCTACAAACCTGGTGAGGAGGAAACATTTGATGGAATCTTTTTAGATATTAGGCATGGGGATAGCTATTTGCTGGCACATTTCTTTAGATTTTGCTAGAAGTTTGGTAGGTATTTGCGATTTCTCGGGAAAAAAAAAGTTTGGTAGGTACTTGTTTGGTTCAAGGCATTAGACTAATCATGCTAGGCTAAAGTTTGGAATCAATATGGTGGACGTTACAAACCCAATATATGCTTGGACTGGTCCGAATTCAAAAAAGTACTTTTTCTATAGATCCAGGCCTTGTCTTTCTGAAATTGATTCCAAAGTTATGTTGATGTGGTGACTATTGTTCCTGCCTTATAAATTAATAGTATTTCTAAACAAAATAAATTTAAAGTAGAACTCACTTGGATTACTGTTTTTCTGGATACATCAACTAGCTGAAAATGTTTAGATATTCGACATAGTGAGCCTTTGACTGTTAGCGCATATGGATATTCAATTGTATGGTTATCAACTAAAATAATATCACATGTTTAAATGTCTAAGCATTCCCCATAATCCACCATTCCCCTATGGCCATTCTAGTGACACAATTTGAAGGTTATTTCAATTTGTATACTACTGAAAGAATGCAATGGCATCGAGAAGGTGTATTTTACTGAAAAAAGGGCCCATTTCAAAATATTACAACATTAAGATGCTGTTTGGCTACATTCTTCTGAATTCCAATTATTGGAGTTGTTTTTATCATTTCAAAAGAGTTATTAATGTGGTTTTTCTATGTGTTGATAGTTGAAAGAGAATCTTAATGTTGAAGTTGTGAATACGTTGAAAGAGCTATTCACAATGGGAGGCATTATCTTTGATCCTCCTGAACAGTTTGAGGACTTAGCATTGGCTGCTGATGAAGCGATCAATCAAACTCTCTTGTCATTGCACCAAACTGTAGAGGTGCTTTCAAAGGCAGTTGAGCAGGTGATCTCTGTAATCTCTCTCTCTCTCTCTCACATACACACACACATACACACACACACACACTCATTGGCTAGATAGGTGTATCTTATACTCCTTATTTGGTCAAATTTAAATATCACTCTTGTTATTATATATATGTGAAACCACTGATCTTTAGTATATAGTGTACTTTTTTGATGTTTTCTCAGTCACATTTTTTTGATTTCTGGCACTTGTTGCACGTTTGATTTTTTTTGGATTTCTGGCACTCCTTGCACATCTTTAATCTAATCATCTGTCTCGCATCATTTAACGCCCATCATCGATGCATACCTCGTCATTTAATTTTCATTCTTATGTTTTAGATGACAATGAATGCTTTCTCGGGATAATCCCATGTATTCATCGTCACCAAATGATATCATAATTCATTACAACACTTATATTTAACTTCCTTTTATGATTAGAAATTAGTTTACTTCATATTTATATTTTTATTTTCAAGTTAGCCTTAATTTCCTGTAATTTAGGGGAAAATGAGATGGATATGGTTCAAATGCATGGGATAGTGAAATGTGATGGATGCTTATAAGGTGGTTGTATTTACTTTCTGCAGAGGTCCTAGACTTTATCAATGTGTGTATAATAATGGATTTGCTAACAAGATATAAGCGAACAAATGATCGGTTCTTTAGTACTGATTTTGTTCTCGAAATAGAAAAAAGAGAACTTATGTCAGGTGTATTGAAGATAGCAAATTCTCATTTTAATAGTTCACTATAACAATGACAATTATATACTCATAGGTATAGGATTATAGAAGAGACAGGTAGGTGGGGAGCCATAGTTTTGTATAGTGATCAGGGCTTGGTATGATATGTAAGGATATGATGTGCACGGTCAAGCTTGTAAACAAGACATTTATGTTTGGTTTTATTTATTTTGTACTGATATAGAATATTAATATTGCTACAATATATATGTGTGCATATATATATATGGAAAAGTTTATATAGAGCCGAGGCTCTAAACAATCAAATTAGAGCCCACCTCAAAAATTTTACTAGAAGATGTTGTTTTGATGTCCTCAAATTGATCATCTCGACATCAAGATGCATAGACATGAGAAAAAAATGGATTTCAAGTTTTGGAAATAGTGCATCTTGTGACGCATTTTTGGACCGTCAATTTGTAAGATGTTCAAGTGTTCATAGATCCGCTCGATCTACTCTATTTTTGAAACTTTAAATTTTATAAGATCAAAATATATTTTAAGGCTATTACAAAGATTTTCAATATTGAAACCACATTTCTTGACACTATTTGAAGGTAAGCTCTAATTTGATTGTTTAGAGCCTTGGCTCTATATAAATGGCACCTATATATATATATATATATGGGATTGTCTACAAAGAGACTATTTACTTTTGTACAAGGAGGTCATAATCATTCTTATCCCTTAGATTTCAAAAGGAGTGGTTGTAAGAGTGTCATTGATTAGACACAAAGTTCCACAAAGAAAAGTCTCCAACTTTGTAACTCACCCCAAAGCATCCAATTTCACATCTAATGAGTGGAAATAGTTGTGACCTCCTTGTACAAAATGTAAATGGTCCCTTTTGTAGATAATCTCTCTCTCTCTCTCTCTTTATATATATATATATATATATATATATAGTTCTTACGTTTCGTTTCATTTATTTTGCATTGGATATGTAATAGTTGATATTGCTAACTATTTATGAATATTTATAAATATAAGGTGGTCCTAGAACATCATGGTTAGTCTTGAACAATCCATTGCATATTCAACTACTTTCCTACACTTGTGCATAGCCTCTAGCTTCTTGTATCTTTCATGGTATTAACTTGATGGTTGCAAATCAGTCTACGAGGCTCATCGAAAGATGACATTTAACCCTAATTCTATTCTTTCCCTTTTTGATTCTGACCTTTTCTCTTCTCAAATCTAAACCCTAACACTTTCTTTCACTATAACCCTCTCAAATCTAAGCCCTAATTCTTTTGTTCCCTACAAACCCTCTCGGATCTGAACCCTAATTCTATTTCTTGTCCTTCTTGATTCCAACTCTTTCTTTCACTATAAACCCTAATCTTGCATAGCTGATCTTAACCTCTTTCTTCTCTCAATCAATATTCTTCTCTCTCCTCTCTTAAAAAATCATATCAGAAATCTTCCCTTCTTTCTTAAATCGGACCCAAAATTTCAAAACAGATCTGGCTGAACCCTAAAATCAGATCTGAACCTCTAAAACAATTTCTGTATGAGCCTTAAAATCAGATCTAAAACCCTAAAATCAGATCTGAATGTTTAGATTTGATCGTATTTTTTTTCTGCAAGTTTCATATTTAGGGTTCTAAAGTTTTGAACACTAATTTCTGATGATCTCGGAACCCAAAAACCTCCGAAAATTGTGCTTCAAATCTGAAAAATCTTGTGAATCCTATTTTCTCTTCATTCCTCCTTACATGGCTTCCTCATCTATAGGCGTTCCTTTGACTCCTAACATGCTCCTACATATGATCTTTATTATTGGACTTTGCGCACTTCATAATATGGAAAGTCAAGTTGGTCCAATCCTATATCCTCTTAAGATTGATGGGATATCTTGATGGAACCTAATCTCCTCCTCTAAAACTTATTGAGAAAGAGATTAACCTCAAAGAGGGCATATATGAGATGAAGCTAGTCTTCATTTTTTAATATGAGAACTTGTCATAAACCAGCCATTATTAGGCTTCGCAATTCCACGCTTTCCATTGTATCTCTTGTTTGGCCAAAGAATTGTGGGATCTTCTTCAGGAGCTTACTTTCAACATCTAAGGCTAGTTTAATGCATATTCATCATCTCCAGTGGTGCAAGAGAGCACTTCCATTAGTGAGTGTCTTAAATTAAAGTGAAAGGACTTTGCGAAAAGTTAGTGGCTCCTTGATGTAGAGAACTTTGAGAAACAATAAGAACAACAAGAACAAAAGCCAAACACACACACAATTCAAAGAAACTTAGGTTTCTAAAAATCATGTGGAATGACCCTCTCAAGGCCCCTCACACCTCTTATATATTGTAATTTAATGTTCCAAATACAAAAAATGTCCAAACAAATGATACATTGACCCATAAATCCTAACTTAAAATTCATAATGACAGTTTTACCCTTATGAACAATACCCATGAACAGTAATTATGAATAGTACTCATGAAATAAATAAGCAAAAAACTAAGAATTCTTAAAAAACTAAAAACCCCTAGATATAAATCTTAAAATTAAAACTATAATATACATCCTTTGAAATTAAGTAAAAATAAAAAATAAAAAATAAAAAATAAAAATAAAAATAAGAATAATTTTGCTCTCCATCATTCTCCCCTGGTTGGAAAAATCTCGTCCTCGAGTTTCAAAGTTTCCCAAGATGAATTCAGCATCAAAACCACCTTCTTCAACTTTCTTGTTCTTTGTTGTTGATCTAGGGCACCACAAATTGACGTTACAATAACTTCCGTAAGTGCTACGGTACTTTCATACACTGCTACAGCCCCTTCTATGTAGGTCGCAGGCTCTGATACCAATTTGATGTAGAGAACTTTGAGAAACAATAAAAACAACAAGAACAAAAGCCAAGTACAAGCACAATTCATATAAACTTAGGGTTTCTTCTCTACACCCAAGTTAGGGTTCCAAAATCTTGAGCTTTTCTTTCTCTTTCAAGTTCTAAAATTATGTGGAATGACCCCCCTCAAGGCCCCACACAGCTCTTAGATATTATAATTTAATGTTTCAACTACAAAAAGTATCTAAACAAATAATACATTGACCTATACATCCTAACTTAACTTAAATTTGTAATGAAAGTTTTACCTCTATGAACAATACTCTTGAACAGTAATTGTGAATAATTCTCATGAAATAAATAATAAAATAAAATCCTTAGAACCCTAAAAACTTAAAAAAATCTTAGAAATAAACTCTAAAACTAAAACTATAATATATGTCATTTGAAATTGAATAAAAATAAAAAATAAGAATAATTTTGCCTTCCATTACTATTGGTCATTGATGATGATAAAGTGCTCTACCTGTTTGGGGATTAGGTGAAGAATATGAAATGCTCATCACATCAGTCATGTTTAGTTCTTTTACACTTGGCTTCAATGAACTTTGCCCTCTCCTATTGCAGCATGAAGTTTTGTATAAGAAAACTCGTTGAAAGAACATGTTCATGATATCTTAAATGTTGACTCTTAAAACACCAATATGGCTAGTAAAGGCCGTGAAAGAGGAAAAAACAATTGTGGAAGTGGGAGCGGTCGATTCACAGCACGTGGAATACAAGGATATGCTGGTTATAACACGCGACAACATGGACATACAAGGTTCCAAGAAATGCTAGTAGGCCCTAGGGCCTGAGGGTGCCTAGGGCTCCCAGTGCCTGGGCTGGCACCTAGAACCTTAGGCACCTTGAGGTGTCAAATATACACATATATGCATATATGTGCTGCCCAAACACACATATATGTGTCAAATATGTATATATACATTTGTATGTATTCTAACTTAATGTTGAAACCAGTGGTTTAAAAAACGGATCGGTGCCCCTGATCGGGCACCCCAAAAACCCATTCGGATTTGCGAATCGGTGTTTCGGATTGAGAATCGACCAAATCGGTAGAATTCGGCCTTTAAAAAAATCTAAAAAATTATTAAAAATCAGTATAAATGTTGCTTTTTAGAAATCCAATACGAAATAAGGGTACTACATTAATAATTTTCATTTTTTTTGCATCAATATGCGAATATTGAGATGTTCTTTCCCTATATGAACTATTGTTAACCATTAAATTTACATCATACAAAAGGAGAAACATAGAATTATCATGGATGAAGTATATAATAATATATGGACTACAATAAAGCATATAATTAGTAAAATATGACCTAATACTAAAATAAAAGACGATGTTATTCTTCATCTTGGTCACGCTTGTGCCATTGATTGAATT